TGCTCTGTTTAAAATTATAAAATAAAATTCTTTTTAAAAATTATAATAGCAGCGTGAAATGTTTTAACAGTTCCAGTATTTAAAGTGAAGCTTAAATGAGTCATATTTTTTCCTTTAAGCGATAATGTGAATAAATAGGAAAAAAAAATCATCTCAATAACGCTGGATTTAAAAAGCTTAACAAGTGCTCCATCAAACGAGTGCTCATGAATGTCAAGTGCGCTTGCTTTAGCCGTCGCTGCGAATGAGTGGGCAGAGATAACATCCCGTGAATGCAAAACGTCACGACTAAAGCACGCAACATGAAGCACAATAGAACGCTTCAATTTAACATGGTGGGCTCCGTCTAAGAAATTGGATTTTAATTTAATAGCTCTTCAGTACATTCAGAATTTAATAATAGCTCTTTGACTACACTTAAGACGCGGTAGGTAACAATGGTGATTTCTGTTTTATTATATCATTGTCTATAACAGACAAGAGATTTGAAAAACCGGGAAATGATGGAATCATTACCTCAAAGTTTAGATTTAATTATATATAGATTCTAAAAGCGACTATTCGTTTAATGTCGCCTAAATTTAAACTATTTCATTGATTATACCTTAATAGCGACAAGATTTTTATAATTGAAATCTGGTTTAAATTCATGGTTTATTTTTTCTATATATGTCGTAAATATCTTATCCATATTTATAGTTCTCACATTGAAACTATTCCGTGCCTAATTGTAACGAAATGCGATTTGTTTCAAACGAAAATTCGTCAATGCAGATGGTTATCATCTTAATTCCTAACGGTTTCACCAATATGCAAATTGATTTTAATAAAGACATTTCATAGACATTTTAATGTCATAACTGTGTCTTTGGATATCTTATGTGAATCTACGCTATTAAAAGTTTCCATACTTGTCTTAAGCGAAGTCGTGACTGGATAAGGGCTTGTTACGTAGAAAATTTCATCTTCCATTTAAGAATACTTTATACGAGGATTTCTGCTATTAGACGGTGTTTTGTTATTTTGTTGCGATAAAATGAATAAAACTGCTATCGAAAAGTAAGAGATATGACCGAATGTTTTGTTTCAAATATCATCTAAGAGAATAATTACGATATATATTGGCATCATATTAATGTTGCCAAAGAATTTCTTTGTTTTATTATTCATGAATACACAGTACATATTTAACACGGAACTGTAGTAGTTAGATAAATCGTGAAGAATCAAAGCCTATCAATATTTAATTACTTGGTAATCCTAATCAATTAGGTGCTAATTTTAATCCAAACGTGCTGCACTTACCCACACATAAACAAATTAGGTACATACATGACGGGATTGTTAAGTTTCTCTGTTGAATTAGTTCTGTGCTAATTATGCTTTAGAACTCTAATGAAATAAGCGTTGTTTGCAAATGACATTAACCCAGAATTCTCATATGCATACAACACAATAATATTTCTAAATTAAGGTATTTCCAGCTTCCACACTAATTCGATACTCCTATTTGTGTCTGTGAAATTTTATTATAAAACTTTTATGATTTGTTTTCGTAAATTCCTATCGCAATATCCCCTCTTATGTACAGGGCCATAGAGGGATTAAAGTTTCCTTGGAACCAGTTTCTCGCAACAAGTTTCTCGTAGGATGGCGAGTGCCTTCATGAATAATAACAATGGCTTCCGTACTATATACATATGGGCTATATTTTTCGCGACAGATAAGATGTAAGGGGAATATGAATGGTCATTGAGAATAAAGTGAAAGTTACAATGGAAAGCACTTGAATTTAATAACAGAAATGAGTATTGTACATATTATATCAGGTGTAGACACAAGAATACAAATTGTCCTTCGCTTGTTATTTTATCAACTTAAAATGTAATGATTCAATGATATTGATTTTTTTATCTCATATATATAGAGTTATAGAGCATAAAATATTTATAGACTTGGAAGCAGTCCGGAACGGAAACCTGAAGTTATTGAATTACTGGACCGCTATACTGAGAAACCTGTTGGATGTATTTGCTAACTGTAAGCTCGATAAGGAAATATTAATAATTACTATTCAAATAACCAGTACTCAATGGTGTTAAGGTTCCAATAACATTAAGGGCAAAACGGTAAACGAACTTATGTAGGATTACGTCTAAAGATATGCATTCTACGTACGCAAGAATATGTAATATTTTATAAAAAGAAATTTTCAAGAATCATTCTGTATTTATACCATCGCGAAATTTTATAAAAGAATAAATATTAAATATTAAACTTTGCTTTTGTGTAGGTAAGCAATTTATATGCAAATTATTTAAACACTAAACAATTTTGTTCACAATTATATATTGTTCAATTTAAATGTAGTTTATTAAAACTGATTTGATTACAAATAGATAGCATTTTCATCTTGGATGTGTTAAAATTATTAACAATTTATTATATAAAGAATTGTTAAGTCATAATCAGTTACATATATCACATTATTGGAACAGTGAAATTCAATCGGTTTTCTTTCAAAAGGTATAAACATGTACAAATATCTAGGCAAAGTAAAAACATTTCATTTTCATGTACGTCCAATTAACTGATTGAAAGGTTAACTTGACCCTCGTTAGATCATTTCTAAAGGAATTTGCACGTACTTTAACGATACTTCCAATTAGAGTTTCTTGGGCTAGAGCAACTCTAATTGATGTCAGGTTATCTTATTAATAGAATGCATGTAAAACTTCGTTTTAAAACCTGTAGATCCGACGTTATTTACATATAAATAGGTTTATTTTAGAAATATTGTCTTCGACAACATATTAGTTGATTTACGAGCTGACGGAGTGAAGAATATTTTAATTAATATGTATCGAAAACCCGTCAATAATAGAATATTAATTGAGTCATTATAATCATAATTAAAAAACTGGAAAGTAACATTGGCACCGCGTTGAATGGCCAATTAATTAAAGAAATGAAAACAATCTGAAACGTTATAATCAGCAAAGAAATAATAATCCTAATGGTATAATAAACGAAGAGTAATAATATAGTGTTAGATAGTTAACATAAGAAGTGAAGTTAGCATCGGAAGTGATTATGTTTCGTTGGCCTGAACTAATGTTGAGGTAGATCGGGTCGGGCAATGAACGCTAGCCGCTACAAGGGCAATGATGATTGGAAGTACGTGAAAAGTAAAATTATACCTCAAGATATACATCGTATTATGCTCTTATTACTTTGTAGATGTACATTTATATTAAGATAGTTCATAGTTTCGTCAGGCATAAAAATGGTTCACAGAAATATATGTCTCGTTAAATGAAGATATTAAAATGTATCTCACACCAGCTTTTACGATTAAAACTGTCTGATGCAGACATGACTGTATTTCCGAGAAATACTAATATACACACTTTCATACTTAGTAATAAGTACGTACGTGAATGTGCATTCAAAATGAAATCGTTTAAATAACATAAATGTATAATATAAAGTAACATTCACTAAGACAGACTTTATCCAGATAAGTGTTTCAGATTAAATAAGTATCTATCCTAAGTTAACAATAATAGGAAATAATTTGTTATTTCATCGCAGCACAATGAACTGTTATATCAAGATTATATACAGCAGGTTCCACGAAGTTCAGTTCACGTCAAGATCGCGAACCAGAGATTAACATTTTAGGTAAACATATCGTTCGATCTGACTCTAAAGATGTTGACCTTGGTTTGCGTAACGGGATAAATAGTCAAGACGCTTGAATCGATTTAAAATGAAGCAGGAATAAAAACATGTAATTGAGCCGCGACACGGATAATGGACCGAGTAAAAGGTGTTAGAAGTAAATTGTGGTGTCGAAAAATTCTTTCAAGATCATTGAGATTATTCGTGACGTCCGGTGATTTAGACAAAAAAATATATATATAGTTAGGATAAAGCCTTGAATCCAGAGCGATCTCTTTCCACCGTCGAAGCGGAACGCTCAAATATTTGTTCAGAAATTATTCGATAATCTGTGACAAAGAGTCTTTCACTTGACAACTGTCTTTTATGTAAGCATATAAACAAGTGGTATATAATAAATAAATTTTATGATATATCCCATACAAAAAATCCTACATTTTTTTAAAAATAAACATCATTATTGTATTAAATGAGATAGTAACCATTAAATAATAATTTGATAACATACATATCGTAGCGTCAAATTCAAACTGTTTTGCATATTTATGACATGTAACATATTATATTCGTTATGAAAATTAATAAAATAGATATATCAAAATCATGGGAGATAAACGTTAAAACAAAGCTAATTAACCAACACAGCCGCTATCAATTAGGTTTAAATTTAATTAGCGCATTTATTCAAAAATACCTATTCGAGTTTCGTTCTGAATATGTAGTGGATGATAAGAAAATTATATGATGTATTGGTCTAATACCGATTGTCAATTCACGGGTCAAAAGATCGACTGATGGTATTGATATAGAATTAATATAAATTGCACAGCAGGTGATCGTGGTTTTAGTTAACAAAGCAAGCTTCATACTAAAACTATAACGGTCCTATAGTTTTCAGTCAACTTTAAATACCTACATAACGTATTTCTGTGTTGTAAAACATTACCAAATTTCAATAGGATAACAAACCAAAAATTTAAAGCATTTTTATTTAGTCACGCAATTTAAATTTAATTAAATATAAAAGATAAAAGATGACGATAAAAGATAATATTATAGAAATTCGTAAATACATTTTCTTTCATAAATCATCTTCAATGAAATACATTTTAACATATACGTCTTTCACAAAATAAAAGCTAATTGGTCATACATTATTTTAAATGGAATGTTTGTAAGAGATATGTCAACCCACTCAGGTGTCCAACTATTGTTCGCGTAATTAACGAAAGCATTAATTATTTAATGACATATGAAAAGGAGCTCAGACTAAGTATATTATAAAAGGACATTAATCATATAGAATGTCTTTTCAGACGGTGCCATTGCCGGCTGGTTCCACCAACGTACTAGCCAAGCCGACCAAATACCATTACTATCCGCACAATCAACACATCTATTTACTACCGGAGTGTGCTATTCAACAGGTAATGTTGCCTTTGAAATATACTCAATACACATAATATTCGTTTCGATATTCTGAAGAACTCATTTATTGGATTGCTCCTAATATAATGAGCTGCTTTTGTCGATATATGATTTATATTTATTAAAATATGAATTGAGTTTTTAGACTTAATATAATATATAGGTATATTATTTTCGTGTATTTTTCAGGTATGCAACGCTGTATACGTTCGTTTGAATTACACGCAGCCTTTATGCGCTTGTCCAGCCCGATACAGAGACCCATGCTCGGCGAGTTTGAACGCGGACGACCTGCATACCACTCGCCTAACCACCGATTCCAAAAAGAAGGTAAGTCTGAAGTCAATACACAGTACTAGCGGCGACGAGTAGGTAACATTGGAGCTTTAAAAGGAATAACTGTGTAACACGGGAACCGAACGATTAATAGGATTCATTAAATATACCCGTAATAGCTTGCTATTTATTGATAGCATCTTAGGAATTATAGTCATTTGATTGAAAAACACGATTCAATGTTAGATTACGACGCAATTAAAGCATCTAGTGATTATGTAAAATTACTTTGGAACATGACGACGGCTAAATCGATTTGTACGTTTTTTCAGTATGCAAAGAAGGCTGTAACATTGGTTAAGACATGCGAAGCTGTTTCTGAGATGCGAGAATGTCGTGCACCACGAGACTGGTCGTTATTGGCGTTGCAAAATATACGGACGGGAAAATCACACTATTTAGTCATATGCCGATGTCCCGAAACTCATATTCTAGGTGAGATATATTTTAAGTGAAATTCAAAGTCAAATGTCAAATCTTATCATGTTTGAATAGTTGTTATGTCATTTAAGATTTTTTATGCATACAGTTCTTGTGTGTAGATGCGATAAAGGATTGCATTAATCTTGCAGAGGGGCCGATGTCTCACGACCAGCCGACGTATGCTTCGGTGCCTGGTATAAGGGTCTACGGTATGATGTGCGTACGACCGACCACAGCTTATCACTCCAGTAAGTCCTGCTATCTACTAGCAACACCTCTCTTACATTAATACAGTATACTTTATGACTGAGATGGTGATTTATAAAGGTATTAGCGAGAAAGCAAAGAGATTTAATGCCGTATTGCTTCAAGGCAAACGCTATGCTATCTAAAAGGAATGTCGTAAAGAAGATTTAGTTCAGTCCGCACATCGAATGATGTTCTATGGCTTGGTTTTAAATTAATTGTTATTACAATATCCACTTTACTACGGCAAAATTTATGACTAATAACATATATCCGAATGGTTTTAGATTTCCGCTTAGACTTCATAAAATAGGAAAATTTAATATTACACGTGTAATATTTTCCTAAACATTTTTATAATCGTAATAACAATAACAACGTTCATTAACTACAAGAAATTATTGGATATTTCGATTCGGATCGTCACATTTATTATTCAATAGTCTGTTTAATATCTTATATAACTTCTAATTTACTCGCATTATCGCTACAAGGGTGAAGTATTTTAATATTGCTTTGTATATCCTTTTTTAGCAAATATTTTCTTCTTCTAAAACTTCTAGATATGCAAAAAAAACATTGTTAGAAGCAGTGCATTAGTTAGAGAGTCTAGAAATAACAAGCAAATATTTTTTTTAACTTTTAACTTTGAGATTAATCGTGTACACGAAGAGAGCGGAACGATATTCAATTTTGTAAATAAAAACATAAAATTTCAGGTTTCAACAACCGATACACACCGAGCGTTCAGAGCACCACGAGCACGTACAAAGTGGACTATTCTCAAGCCCACTCCTACGATAAACCAGTCTACAATAGATATCATACGCACAGCTATTTAAATTCAAACTTCTACAATAGACGATCTAGAGCTGCACGCGTAAGGCGAATGACATCAGAATACCCTCCTTTCCCATGGTATAAGGTAAAGGAATTGGCACGATCGTTACATTGGATCAATTAAGAACAAACTTATCTTATTGTTGTAAAAGTAGGTTGGGCTCAAGATGGCCGTCTGCCTCGTTGAGCCCAACGAAAACTTACAATATTGATAACAAAACGCTTTTAGCTTTCTCATACCAGTTTAGTTACGTCCGATTCATTAATAATCGTATTGTAGTATTGGATGCATTTAGTAGTTTTATAACTCTTCTGTACCTTCCCAGCATTTTACTTTATAAGTTTTAATATCCGTAGAATAATTTAATACTCATAAGTTAATGCTCTGCCAGAAAGCCATAGATTTAAGGACAAGTATTGGAACGTTTTAGACGATGATGATTTCTTGGTGAATGTAATTTTAGTTATATTTTGTACACAAAATGATGTGATACGAATTCAGTGTTTTTGTGTATTACAATGCATTTATTATTTAAGTTATTAAGTATACGCAATATTTATATCAAACCATATATCTTAGATGAATCGCTTTGTAAATAGTAGAATTAATTACAATATTTGTAATTAAAAAACAAATAAAATAATATTAAATAAACGACTGTTTTCTTTGTGTATTTTTTTATAAAGGCGACTGTGAATCTTTATGTAACAATCGTTAGATATTTCATCCAATTTCTCTTATTACATTACTATTGTAAGCTTTTGGAGCTAAATGCCGTTCAAATTGTGTAACATTTTATTGAAGACGGTGTTTTCTTGTTATTTTATTCATTCAACACAAAGAATCATTTCTTAATACCAAATCATTACAGTGACCATTGTTACAATAACTTTTCCTTTAAAAAGATTAAAGACCATTAAAGTAATTATTATTTTCAATGGTTTCAATGGTTTAAATGTTATTATAATTATATAATTTAGTTGACATATATAACTCACCCAATACTTTTTGATCCACAACTATATCACAGGAATACATGGCCGCCATAAGTCTCTGGGGTTGTACTTGGAATGCCTTTCTGCAACCGTCCTTTACAGCCGACATTATTTGACCTATTAATAATCAAGTTAATGTTAATATAATATAATACTCGGGCTGTATGTTCATTACAAACTCATTAGTTACTGAAGCTTTGTATGTAAAATAACATCTTGTTAGTTACACAATTTATAACTCGAGAATGTCTTTACCGATTTGGATGAAATTTGGTGGGTAAGTAGCTTAGATTAAGGAGACGGATATAGGGTATTTTTCATCCTCTTCAACCGAAAAAGCAACAATAAATAATAAAATACGGAGTCTGTATGTTTGCGTCATTTAAAGAGGAATAGAGTTTGCACGGTCAGATTGATAATTCTAAAATTGATACGAACAAAGTCGCGGCCAAAAACTATTTAGTTAAATACGTCTTAAGTTAGTAAGATATAGAAATCTTTTAGTGTGTTTGATTTATAGAAATATTCACACAGAACATTTATTTTGTTATTATAATTATTATTATGCGAGATACATAACTGAATGATCACAAGAACGTATCTAAAATCTTATCAGCAACTTTACTATCGACATCAAATTGTAATCAAGAACCAGTCATAACCATTTACAACAAGTCTACATCATTAATGTGACATAACCCTTAGGTATTTAACGTGTAAGAGTAGTCCTTCTATAGTAAAATTAGTCTATGTTTATAGATATGTAAAAAGTACAAGAATTTTTACTCTAATTATTCAGGACCAGTCATGTCGTTTTACAAGAAAATAAGAGTTACATTAAGTTTTTGCTGAGATTCCACTATGTGTGTATTTTTAAATAGATAAATGTAGCTGACAGCAAAAATAAAGAATTGTATTACATAATTTGTTTCTTCATAGTAATAAATTAGTTTGTTGGATTTTAATTTAGCAATCATCTTTACTGACATATGAAAAAGACAATTATTAATAATAACAACAATTAAATTAAAATAATAACACAGTTATGTAGGAAGGTCTCCTATAAGTAACAACTACTGGTACCTAACATATAAAAATAATTGAGATACAATCTGTAAAATATTACAAATCATTAAAAGAAATCAGAATAATAATTAAATATATTTAAATGAGTACTAGCGAAAATCTAAGATTTTATTATTAAATATATTTACCTGACAAGGGTCCGAAAGTATGTGAAGAATCTTCTTCACCCTTTTCTAGAGTCCATTCTTCAACACAGAAAGCAACACCCATCATCGGCTCTTCACACAACGGTCCCGACAAAGAGGCCAATTGGAAACCACTAACAAAACTACCCTCATATTCGAACCTGGGATCTTCCTTTATAACGTCCTCGTGATGCAAAAACTTTGTCCTATAATCCGTTGTTTGATTCAAAAGCAAATTTGGACCGCAATTCCTAGGACCTACTGACCAAATTTGACTGACGACATCCTTCCATTCTGGTCCCAACTTCGATGAAATATTCTGCAACTCCGTTTTGAAAGCTTCAATCAGTTTCAACATCCTATCTGACAGCTGATGTTTCCCGTTTATATGGAGATCTTCTAATTTGTTCTCTATTTTATCATTGTTATTTAAACCTTGCAACGTTTTTATATATTGAGATATTGCTTTAAGTAAATCTGCTGATTTTTCAAGTAGAGCTGTTATTGCGTTTGGTAATGGTTTAGCTCGTATTCTTATTTTGCTTTGTTTATTGTTTGTGTACACCATTATAACTGGATCTATGTCAGTGTCGTTTCCTTTATCTATATTTTGGGAATCGATTTCCTCATTCGCCATATCGATTTTCGGTGGTTCAACTATCGTTTCTCTGAATGGTACTATTGGTTCTGAGACAGTTATTGGTATTTTCGCATATAGATTTCTGTAATCGTCATTAACACTTTAATATTATACTATGTACTTCTGTGTCAAATAAAAACGAATGTTATATGAAATTTTATATCCAAAAAAATCGCAAAATTTCTTTTCAAATACTTTGATTACTCGATCGTACTATTTGATGGAAGATATGTTTATTTTTATCTCTTTATATCAACGTCTCTTATTCAATAAATCAAATTAAAATTGCAAAAAGAAAACATAAAAAATAATGATGTCTTACTTGAGATCCTCTAAGCATCTCTGTAGATGTACTTCACCAGCTGTCACTAATACATGCTCACCGGTCTCTTGTAAAAACACTTGAACGCACGAGTCCGACTGATTTAATAGTTTCAAACCTGTTTCAATGAACATTAAAAATCATAAAGTAATATATCATCATAAAATTCACGTTGATTATTCACAACTTTTGTAATGATGTTTTTAATACTAAAGGATTGTTAAGCTAATAGTTAGGTCAAATTTCAATAAAAATATTAAAAATGAAAAATGTTTAACGGACAACTGTTACAAGTATTATAGAAATGTTGGTATTAAAAGTAAGGAAAAATGAATTCGATAATGTGCCGCTGTTTTGAATCCCTCTCGTATCGACATATTTATTCTACCTGTATTTTCTAATTTAAACTTATTTTAATTATTCACATATATACAGGGTGACTGGTGAATTACTATCGATACTTGAGGACGTGATATTTGACGGTCATATATGACAAAATAAAAATTAATATAACATAAATATTAATAAACTTCTAAGTAAAGTTAACCAAAAGTTATGTAATTAATTACGCATCGTGTGAACACCCTACAGATTAGGTATACACACACACACACACACACGTGTGCGGCGGCGTGGTGTTGTATCAGCACGCCGCCGCACGCGTCCACACTTGGAACACTTGGAACGTGTCAACACTTTATTTATTTATACGGAAATTTTGTCAAAAATTAAGTGCCTATTTTTTTTACATAATTCGAATGAGAATCATGTACCGAGTATTCTCCTTAAATATTGATAGTAATTCACCAGTCACCCTGTACACTATTTAACAATGTTTTCATAATTTTTTTAAAAGTCTATTGAAGGCTTCGCTAGTTTGGATTTATATAAATAGTGTATATTACAATTTATATAAATATATTTTTATTGCAAAAAAAAGAAAGATTCATATATTATAAATGATGTAAACAATAACATGCAAAATATTCTCACTAATGTATAATATTAATATGGATAGTGTTTTGACTAAATATAATTTTTTTTTTTGTACATAATAACAACATTATTCCCACCTTTAACAAGCTGAGGCAACTGTGATGGATATGTGGGTTCTATTGCAACCCTTAGTATTGGCACCGCTGCATATTGAATCTCACTGAACGATGGACATGCTATTGTACTACTTAATGTTGCTGTTTTTAATATATGATCCTCAAGACCACCAATACCTAGAAAAAATATATAAATAATAAATATGTTATTACTTTACTTTAGAATTAAATAAATCAAATATTTTATATAAAGTACCTATAACATTGCCAGCAACTGCTTCCTCTAAATCTTCTAATTCTCTTCCCATTAATACATAAAGAGATTTAATCCTGCAAAAAGATATATGTTATTATATATATATATATAATTACACATCATAAATAAATGACCGTAATTAAAACTTACTCAGCGCAAGTTATATGTTCGTCGCTCTGTAAGTCTTTTAGTTTCTTATTAGGATCTATATTGAAGTCCTTGTTCATAAGTACTTGGGATGGATCGTGTTTTGGGCCCAGTACGTAAAGTTTATCCCCTTTCCTAATTCTACCACTAAATATTCTAGCAAATGCTATAAATGCAGTTTCGTTATCATCTTCCTTTTCTGGTTCATCCGTTGTATGTTTTTCTTTATCATTTTCGACTAATTCCTCTGCTTTAACTGGAGTTGGTTCAGATTTCTCGCTATTTTTCAGAGCATCACGCATTTGTCTTGCCCTTTCTCTTCGCAAAGCCATTTCCTCGGGTGTAAGCGCTTTAGGTTTGTTTGAAGGCAACATACTTTTATCTATACTAAACATTTTAGATATAAATACAATCACAGGTCTATCGTTGCTACTATCACAGGCGAGAAAATCTTTTTTGAGTTGCTTTGTTTCGTCTGAATAAGATTCGAAATCGCGTATACGTGAACACATTAGTTTCTCAACTTTCTCAGGTAATATTTCCTTTGGAGATGGCAGCTTCCTACACACCATATCTAAAACTGTATTAGACAAAGGCAACCACTGCATCATCAGTGACTGCAGTTGGACCCTACTGTCTGTGTTTCTTAGATCCCTTGTTGTAAGTTTGATACCTAATTTTTCACACATGCTAGGTACTTTTTCTTTGTCATTTCTTAAAACAATTGTTTCATAAATATTCCAAAGATTGTCAAGAACAAGCTGAACGAAAAGCGGTTTCTTAGCTTTCTCTTGGGCACCTTTCATAAAGCGCTTAGTTTTTGGATTCAAATAAAAATCACCCCAAAGTACCTTTGTGAGAAGCTCTTCTTTAACACCTGTTGGAATTAAACAAAACTATAGCTATGTTCCTACAATCTTTTGTCATCTTATTAATCAATATATTATGTATAGAACAGTTTTATAAGAACTATAATTTTTATCTATGAAAAGTGAGTTATTATCTGTGAACTTATGCACACTGAAAATGGTATTTCCGGGTAATATTACTCAATACATTTATATTTATTGACAATAGAGTTAATACACATATAAATTAAAAAAATTATGAACTGGAAAACATACCAAGTTTATCAGAAAAAAGTTTTGCAAAAGTATGCACAGTGAAACCCCATCCATCTATAGCACTTGCAAAAACAACATTCCCTTGCTCAGGTGAGAAATAAAGGTTTGAGTCGTCTGAATCTTCTAAAGCTGATGTCCAATCATAGAAATTATTGTCCTCTTTTGGGTTCGGTTTCTGACGCTTTTAGTATGAATATAAATAATAATAAATAAAATAAGTTTTTTATTTATACAAACAGCTTATTAAGAACCTGATTGATTAAGACGGGTGTGTTGAAACTTAAATACTCTTAATATAGCATCAGGTACTTTATACATAAATAATTATGTTAATTAATGCATAAGGCCACAATATTCACTGAAGGTAAGGTAAGTATGAAAATATATATATTATTAGTATAAATATATATTTAATAAATCTAATTACAATGCCATACTTTTGTTTATATGCTATCAAAATAATATTTAACAATAATATTCAAAAGAACTGCATTATATTTTATTGCAAAATTATCTTTTTAATATAACATAAACATAAAGAATCTTGAATCTTGGATAGGGACAATGCAAATATTGTTATAAATAAAGTTATGGAATAAGAAAATGACATACCTGTTTATCGATCAATGTTTCTTCATTTTCTAATACTTCTGATGCAAAAAGTTCACCCATCACGGCGTTTACTTGTTCTAATAACTGTGCTATATGAACATATGCATCTAACGCTGTCATTTTCATCTCCACAATGAGCCGATCAATTTTATTGAACACTAAAACTGCTTTCATATTTTCTGAATATGCCTGTTTCAATACTAGCCTTGTTTGTGGACATACACCTTCTACTACATCAACCTATAGGAAAGCAATGTCATATATCAAAAATATTTAAGTACAACATTGTGTAACTTTGCTTTGTTTTAGTCATATAGTTATATGTCTTTAACAATATATCTGAAACACTAAAGTGATAGAGAACTAATATAACAAATGAATACTATTCTTATAAGAAATTTTAGTGATAAATTTTCTTTTAAAACTTACAACTACTATTGCACCATCACACAATCGGACCGCAGTTGACACTTCACTTGAAAAATCAATATGTCCAGGGGAATCAATCAAATTTACAAGATGTTCTTCACCTTCCAATGCATGATACAATGCTATACTACTGCTTTTCATAGTGATACCCCTCTCCTGTTCATCGGGCCTGCTATCCATGTAGCGAAGTTTTCCAGACAATCTTTGCGATATAATACCATTGCTTGATATTAAGGAATCAGCCAGGGTTGTTTTTCCATGATCCACGTGTGCTACTATACATATATTTCGAATCTGCGAAGTTTTGTTTTGAAGTTCTAAAAGTTTCGTTGAACTTACTAGTCTCATTTTGTTTATACTATTATTTATTTTAAGTTGTAGTGTAATGTATAGACAATTGTTGCAAATTTAATACAACAAGTTCATATATAGTGAGCAAATAATTGCAAAAAATTGCACAACGTGAGAAAATCCAAAAATATTGCAATGTTGACATGTCAATGTCACATTGACAATTTAAGTTATCATTTCCGTTCAGAAATACGGTTCCGTGTAATTCTGGACACATACCATGTTATTATCGGTAAACAGATAATTTTTGAAAAATTTTGTTAATCAATAATGTTCAGTTCAAACATAATATTTAAATAACGGTTTTTGTAAATAATAATGTTAATAATAATATGATGTAGATTTTTAAAGTTTTATTTCATTACTTAAAGAAAAAGTAAAACCGACTCTAGCTCTGAATTATTCTATAAATTGGCTATTTGAGGAAAAATTTGTTATTTTAAGAAAATGTTTTTATTTAACGATATGTGTTTGTTATATGATTTTATTAATATTATTTGAATTTCTCTAACAATTTAAATTTCATTATAATATAAAAACAAGTTTAAAAAATATGTTTATTGACAAACATGAAAACATACTACTATACAAATAAAACATGTATAATTAAAAATGTAGAAGGGGCCATCCGAAAAGTATGTTGCACTAATGTGCAACACGATGTCATACTTTCCTTTCCATTATTAAAGGGGCATGGGGGTTAATAGTTTTGTGAATTCACATATTAAAATATAAAATACTAAAAGGCAAAGTATGGATGTGAACTGAAAATGAAAAAATATTCCAACTTGATCTATATATGTATGTACATATATGAATAATTTAGCTTTCTCGCTATGAGATAATTTCTCATACAACTTCAAGATCGGCGTTGCAATGTAAGTGAGACACTTAAATTCATTATTTTCTAACTTCATAGTAGTTTGTTTTTGCGGTTTTATGAAACGTTGTAATTTTTGTTGATTTGTTGAAGAATAAAATTCAAATAGCTGTTTTCTCTCGATTAAATTATAAAAATGAATTGCTGTTGAACGGCTGAACGGATTTATCTTATCTTAGTCTCGAAATGTTCGTGGCGGTGCAGGGAAGGTTTAAAAGGTGAAACAAATTGAATCATTTCAAAAACCCTAAAAACAGCGCTTTTCTATTTCCGATACAAACGTTTTTTTTGACATTAGATTTGACAACTAACTAATAAGTCAATCATTTTGTCGCACTTCAGAACACGGAGATTTATGATAGGTAGATTCCAAAAAAAACATTAAAAATTAATTAGGTATTTATTTATCGATTGAGGCAGTACGAAGTCTTCAGGGTCAGCTAGTTTTTAAATACATATAAAAAGTGTGACGTCACATTAGTAGGAGGGGGGGGGGGGGTTTATAATAATGTGTCATCCTGTGACAAGAACAGGAAGAGTTCAAAAGTCCTAATATTCGTGTGACGTATTTTATAGATGGCCCTTAAAAAGGTAATCTATCAATGTTTAAAAAACTGTATTCACTTGATCCTTAAGCAATATAGTGTTCAAAGGTGTTCCACTGCTTATTAAAAGGGATTTTTATTCCCTACATCTAAGCAGAACAAAAGGAATCAAATTTTTAGTTAGTAGAAAAGATTAAAAAAAAATCACTCACAATTGACCAAAACTGATATACCGATGAATTAATAATAATACCTATAAGTGTGAAATTTTGTTTTTAAATGTATACATATTTTATTGAAATGGAATAATTTCTGACAGTGGCATGCACACCATAGATAGGTACAAATAAGCACTGCATACCCTATCCATATAACAACTAAACCTATAATCTATATTATTTAATTGTTACTTACATATGTACTTTTAATCATACACTACGAAATACAAATGTTTACAGACATCTAAAATACATTTGATTCATGATTTGATAATAAGTGCCATCTATCAATGTAACAACGAAACATTTTCGATCGGCCCTTGCTAACTGCTAGCGCCGCTATGCAGCCAGAGCGGCGGTATGCACTACCACTCTCTGCTTATTTTCCATACAAAATTCTCAGAGACGTCCTACAAATCTCGTGTATGTATACGGGAAATAATTGTGTGCGTGTGTAAAACTAACACATGTATAGTGTGCGAGAAGCACTGATTATTATTATTTAATATTTTGTATAGTTTAAAATCTATAAGAAAGTGAAAATTTTAAAATTTAATGTCAAATGAAATGGGGCTCTCTGATTGGTCTGTAAACTATTATTATATTTTTTTCGCGGTTTCGCCATGTTGTTATTATTGAATATTGTCATTTGTTTTCTAAGCACAAGTAAATTAGTTTTAATTAGTAAACAGTGGATTAATTTAGTGACGAATTATGGAAAATTTTAGCTATGAGTTGTGTGCTTGTGATATGGGTTTAATGAAATTAGTTAGGTACGAGTAGATTTTCAATATTGTCGTTTTCTTAATAAAATTAAAATAAGTGTAGAGTCAAGGTGTGTTTGTGAGTTGTGACCAGTTGAGATTGAAATAAAAGAAAGGTAATGTTATTAATTTTAATCAGAAATATTATGATAGTTTTAATTAGTTAGCATGTTGTGTTCACACAAATTATATTGGGTTTCAACCGGAGGTTCCAGGAAAACTACGAAACATACTTATATGTATATTAAAATAAGAATTACATATCAAAACTTATAACCTATACCTAAGACTACATGATTGCCCCGATGTTAGGATGACAATGGCATTCTATTACTTGTGTGGTATGTGCAGTCTTCTGGTTCACAGTTCACACGGCTTGGTGTTCGTTCTTCGGAGTCAGCGGCGTCAGTCGGCGTCGGCGGCTCTGGCGATGTTCATTTTTTTTCTTCATATGTAGCGCGTACGTAACACACAAATAACTTACTTTATTTACCTTGTTTGTTTTTTTCAAATGATAATAATAAGATTGTTTGAATCTCCACTGGATATTCCTATTTAAAAATACTTTTATAAAACTGTAATGAACAGATCGTAGTCGTTTTAAGGTACTTTCGTAGCTCAGAGATACCTATTTGAGAGATTCATAAAGTATCTAGATGTTCGTTCTGATCGGACTGCTGTAACATTATGCGCGAAGATCTTTATCAATGTTTAAATGAAATTAATATTTTCTGAGTAAGTACTTTGCGTATTTTATTATGTTTAAAAACTACATAGTACCGACTTTTCGATTACTTTGCAGCAACTTCGATCACGGCAGACATCTCGTCTGCTCGTTAAAAATAATATAAATATTACATAGTTTCCTTTACAATTTAAATCAATACTTGCGAAAGATATCATTATTATCAATGGTTTAAAGGCGGAATTTATGAAAATTGGTATTTTCTTTTTCAAACATATTCTACTTCGGCAGTGGCGGCTGTACCTTAAGTGCAATCGTTCTCTGAAGTCGGAACCACCAATTCAAAAGATTTAAAAATTACAAAATATTACTTCATATTTATTTTTAAATAACCATGTTTATATTTATTTTTTAAACATATAAAAACGTATAAAAAATTAAATTTCCTAATTATGGTCAAAGAGTTTGAGCGCTTTAATAAACTAATATCGTGCGCTTCGGCGAGTGCACGAGGACTCCTAATACATACATCTTGTATGAGATACGCATTAATACGCCTGACGCGTGGAACAAAAGATAGTTCATAGAAATGTACCGAGTAATGAGTCGGTTCTCGAGCGCCGCACGAGCGACCGAAGATTACCGAGAGCACCCGATGTCTGACGAATTGAGCCATGGTTGACATCTCGTTATGTTTTGTTGCATTTTCTAATTTTAATATTTTAGTAAAGTGCAACACCCAGCCGCCACTGATTTACCTACCCCAAATCTCTGTGCACGCCACTGATTTCTAATCGATTTGAAACTATTTGTTGTTACATACATAAAGGAAATCAAATTTAGTGAGAGGCCCTAAGGCATCACCGTTCCTCCAAAATACCCAATATCTATTTCATAAAAGAGTTTGTGATTTAGGCTAAAAATCTATGAGAAATCCTTGAAGATACGTCATACTGAATTACAGATAATAATTATACGAAAAAATGGTATAATATGGTCTATCTACCTATATAAAGGACACGTCTATTACAGTCAATGAAACCATGCATATTATTTGAAACCATCCTTTGTACGACGCGGAAGCTTTTTTATTAATAAAAAAGTTTGTTACTTTAAAACTTTCCAAATCCTCTGAATTGAAAGAAGATATCTTAAAAATTAAGTGAATTATTGCAAATAAAAGGCACTCAATACCGTTTTAACAATTATTTATAAGTCACTTAAATATGTTCATGAAATAATAATAAAAATTTATGACTTTTATGTATGTACTTATAAAATATAGCTCAAACTCTAAAGATTATTTTATTAAAATCTATGATTTTTTGACTTGGGAGGTTTCAGTTTGTCTTGTGTTCAATAAATGCTGATGTAGGTATGGTTAGAGAGAATTTCTATTGCTTCAATTCTAGGGCGCAATTGTAAAACTATTTGCGTTTGCGTAAATAATAGCTAAGGTAAAATTAAAAGTATCGAAATTATGATATTTCTTAAAGGAAAATATTAGTATTATAGTTTCAAAATAAACCCAGAGTTTGAATGAGCGTCTACATAAAAAAAGACCTTTAGACTTGGTTTTATGTCATTTTGTATTCGGACCATGCAAATGTAATTTAGAGTTCATTAAAATAATATGGGTTTTGGTAAAATCCTGAAAAGGATAGAAGAATTTACTTCACCTTGGACCAACTTCAAAGGCCTCCATAGTGGGCAGTATTTATATTGACTTTCCTCCTAGTACCGTGATTGAGTCTGAACTAGCTAATTGAATTTCCGCGTTTTGAATTGTTTTTCCGCTAACTGAAACCCGCATTCAGTGCAAATGAAGAAAATAATATTTAAGTATCAAAATCACTATAACATTTAAACATTTTAGAATCTAAAATAATGAAAGCTATATTGATA